TGTTCCCATCCCTGCTGAATTAATATGCATTTTCGTTAACTAATCTTGAAACAACAGGAATAAAGTTTATCCAGGTCTTTTATACCTCAGAGAACAAAACAAATACTACAAATCTTTAGAGAGAAAGGATATACAAAAGGGCTTGAGGTGAATATTTCAAAGCAAATACTCTTTAAATGATGTGCAAATTATTTCAGCTCTTGAGCATGATTTATGAAAGGGGATTAGCCCACTGAAATAAGAACCAAGTTTAAACTGTTGGGTTTCAAAGTCAAAGATGAGAAATGGTTACAAGAAAAAGAAGGAGAAAAGCAACAACAATTTAGAGGAGGAATTTGCCTTAATTTTCTCCTTAACTGACTCACCTTAAATTGTCACAAACTATTGTTCTTAATTGCAATTAAAAATACTGCATTTCTCCTCCTATTTTATATAAAGTTAAGAATATAATAATTAAGAAATGATTTATATTTCAGCAGGAAAGTCTCTACTTCTCATGTTAAAAACATAATCACAAACTGTTAGCAGTTAAAACTCGTCAAGCTGGAAAGGGTGACTCCTAAGTCTGAGAATTTTTTTTTTTTTCAATTCACAAGTCACATCTACAATAACAAAACATAATACTTTCTAATATTCCAAAATGTTCTTCAGGTAGTAGTTAAAGCTTCTTGTAAGACTTATGAAAATGATTGTTTCTGTGTAATTGTAAAGAATATTAAGTGAGCTCACTTCATATAATTCCATAATGACCCACTATTCTGGAAGGTAAAAGAAATTTTAATGATTCCACTCACATGTGATTAATATCTAATGCTTCTTGACTAAAATTCTGGATTTTGTTCAATAAAAATGAGTTAAGCAAAAATTCTTTGGGTTCTCAACCAAAGCTTTCTGTGAAAATCAGTTATGCCCAATTTAAAAATAAGGCATGGAATTTCAATAATAAACCCAGGTACTGACTAGGGAAAAAAAGATTAATTAATCTTATGTAAGCTGTCTTGGGGTAATAAAGCCAAAGAAGTGAAGTGAATCTGGACACTACCAAAATTTTAAGGAAACTCCTTCAATTGGTCTTATTACTATCCTATGAATTTTTAAAAGACTAGATATTTTGGTACACATTTATGAATAAGGTTTTTATTGAGAAAATGATTATCATTAGCCCATTTCCTTTTTCATTTCCTTGAATAAAAAAAGAAAAGTGGATCTGAGAAAATATTTTATTTTGGATCTAGTTATTACCATTTCTTCTCAGTGAGTGAAATCTCACAATAGCAGATGGATTAATTAGATCTTATTTTAAATTATCCTCTATTTTTGAGAACTAGATTGTGAGCCTACTTTTGTTTTCTTTGAGATTTTTCAAAAACAACTTGACTGAAGTGCAGCCTGGTGGGCCTTGATTGTTTTGGCAGGCAGCAGAGAGCAGCTAACTCTGAGTCAAACAGCCAAGCTGTGGCTCATCCAGAATTAGGACATCTAACCTGAACGGCTGATGGGAAATGAACTCAAGAACCACATAAAACATCATTCATGCAATCAAATACTATCGTTCTTGTCTTTGGAGAAGGAAAGTAACAAATAAACAAAACAAGCTACATGTGAGATTATACGTTCCTAAAAGAAGAGTCAAATAGAAGGTAAATAGAGTCTCAGATGGGATTTACACATGTTTATATCCAGGGAATTAGTGGATTATTTCCAGGGAATTGCTTTTGTCTATTGTCTATTTGTTTTGGTGAGTGTAGTTTATTCTTAGAAACTGATTTTTTTCATTTTTTCTTCCTTTCTTTTATTTTCTGTTCTTCCTTCCTTTCTTTTTTTTTTTTTTTTTTTTTACTTATTTATTTATTTTTGGTTATTGTGCTTTGGCTAGAACTGTTGACTTTTTGAGGCCAGTTTAGAGTTTAAGACTGGGTGTGGTACAGGCAAAAGTTACACTGGAAGTTTGTGTCTTGATTCTGTATTTGTCTGTAATCACAGGCTAGAAGGAATTGATGAGACTAAATAAATATTCACCATCTGAAATTATGCATTGTCATGCAATGGCCAATGTGATAATCATAGCAGGTTTACTCTGCACAAAGGCAGACTAGACAGCTCTTTTATATAAGCAATTCTTGTTGAAGTCCCCAAAGCCATATGCTGTTTCTCAGCTTTCATAACCTATTTAGAAAACTTACTTTTATTATTTTTGTGATATGGCAATGTGTGTTTTTCCTTATCTTAAAAATTAATCAATCAAGTATTTTGAAAGTTTTTTTTTTGTACTACTAAACACATACTCCCAGCCCTTTTTTATATTTTATTTTAAGACAAGGTCTCACTAAGTTGCATAGGACCTCATAATTGCTAAGGCTGGCTTTAAGCTTGTGATCCTCCTGCCTCAGCCTACCAAGCCACTGGGATTACAGGTGTGTGTCACGGCACCTGGTCATTTTGATAATTGTTTTGATAAATATTTGATATTTTGTAACTATTTTTGATATTTTGATGCTGGGGATCAAACCAGGGCCTTGTGCATGCTAACCAACTCTTCTACATTGTGCTAGAACAACAGCCCAGAAATGTGTTTCTCAGACAAAGGTTGGAATATTTCAAAGTGACCTCTAGACATAAATGGAGGAATTGGGGGAAGATTGCCAGGGAAGTGATGGAAGCAATGAAAGGTTTCTACAATATAATGTGACTGTGGACTTGTGGGAGTCTTTCAAGTACAGAAGAAAGAATGACAGAGAAAAAAAAAGTGGATACATATTAGGATAGAGGACAGGGAGTCATGGAATATAAAGAGTTGGGGAATAACAATTTGATTGGTAAACTTTCAATGTACAAAACACTGGGGAAACAACTGAAGCATAGGTTGGAAAGGAACAATAAACCATTGACAAAGGGTCTTTCAAGCCATGCTAAGAAACTTGGACTTGTACTACAAGTAATGGGGGCATAGTGGACCCCTTTTGTTGTTGTTGATATTATTATTTGTGTGTGTGTGTGTTTGTGTGTGTTATCTGGGATTGAACCCAGGGGCACTTAACCACTCACTGAGCCACATCCCCAGCCCTTGTTTGTATTTTATTTAGTGACAGGGTCTTGCTGAGTTGCGTAGGGCCTTCCTATATTGCTGAGGCTGGCTTTGAACTTACTAAGACTCACATTAAGAGATAAGTGCTTCACAGTTCAACCTTTCCTCTTATTCCTTGGGCATAAAATTCAGGATGGGTTCCTCAGTCATTAGGTTACTTATTCACTCAGGCCTTTAATATTAAACATCACTGCTTTCAGACTCTGTTCTAGGTTATAAGGGAGGAGGGGTGATCCTTAGAAGGTCCTGGTTAATGTTCTTCAGGCATTCCCCATCTAATGGATCAGGATGAACTGGGTTTAAGCAAATGAGAGAAGTACTGGTCAGCTAGGATTACCTCTTCCAGATAACACCTGCCATCCCTTTGATATAGTGGATGTGATGGGCCTCTAGGTATACTTGCCACCTGGCCAATGAAATGCACTTGGGTGAGACCAGATTTTCAGCAACTTTAAGTTAACTCTTCATAAATGGCTTGGTATCTGTGTGTTTCATATTTTTTACTCTAGTCAATAAAAATCAATCACCTTATCACCAAATACTTTATGATGCTGGCTTATTCTATTAAATATATATATATTCATATTTATTTTGTTTATGTTATATATATAACATAAACAAAATCTTCCCTAGATTTTATGCAAAATTACTTAAACTCTTTCAAAATTCTACAGTTGTATTACTATTCTATATTCTGCAGTAATGCAAAAAATAACTGACATTTGGCCAAGTTTAATATTTAGAGATTGCCATAATGTCAGGTTCACATTCAGGAATGACATTATGCCTCATGACACTCAGAGTCCTTTAAGGAAAGAAAAAAAAATTAAAGGATATATTATGCTCTGAGTTAATGACAATATTAAAAATTAAGTTTTGGCAAATTACATATTTGTTTAATTTGCATTTTTAAATTCTGTATTAAAAGTGCATTCTTGGCATATTCCTAAAGAAAGAAACTGGTGGTTTTATAGTAGAAAAATTTATGATTAGTTTACTCAGACTTCACTCATGCAAATCATTACATACAATATTTATATCATAATATATAACCTACAAAGTTCTTAGATATATTTTAGTTGTGTGTGTGTGTGTGTGTGTGTACAATCTTTAGATCTATTACATATCAAATCCACATTTGTATTTCTGATAATATTATAGTTATATAAAAAAATACCCATTATACTTACCAGGAAAATCAATTTTAGGAAACTTATGAAACTTGTCCGAATCATATAGTTGTATATCCTGAGAGTAAGAATTGTATTCAAAATTTCTGATTCTTAGACCCAAATTTTTTTATACAATCTCACATAACATTTTGAGGAGGGTGTTGAAGACTAATATTACTTGAAGATCAACATTAATATAACTTTATTTCTACAACTTTTGTGTTAATCTAAATTTTTTAAACTAAATTGATTCAAGATTAAAAGTATTCCGAGTCTTTTAGAATTATCAAAACTATTATTATTTTTGTACAATACAAAGTTTCTTTTTATTTTATTGCCTCTAATAGCACCTTGAAAATTCCAAGTCATAGCAATTTAAAGAGCCTCAAGAATTAATATGAAACATAGTAACTCTTCAAAATAAAAAAAAAGGACATAAAAATGATGATAGAGGGGCTGGGGCTGTAGCTCAGTGGTAGAGCTCTTGCCTTGCATATGTGAGACCCTGGGTTCGATCCCCAGCACCACATAAAAATAAATAAAGAAAGAATGTTGGGTATAACTTCAATTTACTATTAAAAAACATGTTTCCTTTAAAAAATGATAGAAATATTGAGAGGTTATGGCCTGAGCTAGTCTTAAAGGATGTTTGTTTAATAAAGAGAATACCTTATCTTAAAGGTAAAACTCATCATGTAGTGTATGTATCATGATTATAAGCACTATTTCCTTGGAACATAAACTGTGGGTCATGGAATGGTGGTAAATTCTGGGGAACAGGGCATAGGCAGTTAAAAGCTGTCTATAGGGGAACTTGGGCCTTTGATTCCCAATGTAATAATTTGACCAGAAGTGGTTCTTAATTGGAGGAGGAAGAGGAAGAGAAGGAAAAGGAGAAGGGAAGTGGGAGAAGGAGAAGGAATTATTCTTAATATTTTATCTCAGTTTTGGATTTTTGAGGATACTAGATGTGGTAGCAGGATCTCAGTCCTATATTTTCTACTTGGTCATGATATTTCCTGTTTTGACTCTATTTTTTAAGTCTATTAAATTTTTATATAAATAGGGAATATCTACTTACTTTAGAAAAAATTAGACAACAGGAACATTTGTCTTCAGGTGCCATTTAAATAATCACAGAAAGATGAATTAACAGACTTATTTTACCCAAGTCATCATATAGCATTTCTTGAAAGAAGTTAGAAATTTCTTAGGTATGAATCTCATTTCATTGAATTCTCGAGAAATATGGTATTTTTAGATTTGGTTCATACTCTAGGGTGAAAGCAATACGTAATTTAAATTAAAGTATTTGGATTAAAGTATGAATAATAAGAAATAAAATTTATTTTCTAAGAAAGTCTTAAAAGTTTCTATGTTTTTATAATTGAAATATTTTAAGACCTGTTTGGGACATATAAATAAATACATTAAAAATCAAGTTACTTTCTTTTAGGATTTTGTAAAAAAAAAAGTAGTCTACATTCCTATACTCCAGATAAATTTTGTGTTTGTGTTTCGAAAGAGGAGATTATTTGTGTTCAAAATAATGTTTTTTTTTTCTCTGCATAGGATCACTATAAGAAAATATTTTACATTGAAGAAAGGTAATTTAACCTGATGTGACAATAATGAATATATATTATATACCTAACTTTACAAGAAGATATAATAATTTATGCCTCTTGTAGTCATGGAATAGAGAGAAACTTTCAGGGGAAATCAGAGAGCATTGTTTTTCTCTTGTTTACAGTCACAGTAGCGTATTAATGCTAAGGAAATATTGCTGGAGAGTTAGAGGAAAGAGCCCTCTGTATTTGGCCTATTATTGAAAGAAAGATGCCACTTGACCTAATGAAATCAGAAATTGATTAAATGCAGTTCATCTGAGGGGAAATATGGTCACGGTGTTGCTGCCAGGGTCAGGAGGAACATGGGGTGATCTAGTGCTGGAGTGCTGATAGGGTTAGATAGACTTTCAGAGTAGCTGATGCTACAAGATACATGACCATGGATGCCCACAGGTCAGAGGGCAAGATCAGCCCCTCAGATGGGAAGGGAGATATTAATCAGAACATTCTTTGCTCAACTCATAGCTAAGTCCTCTTATCACATGATTCATTGAGAAGTAAATGTTTTAAAGAAACTACAATCTATGGGTCCCAGGAAACTTGGGTTCACTGCTAACTGTCTTGAGAACACATGTCAGAACAACGACTGGGTCACATAAGACCACAGTAGTCTCACAACCTTTGTGAATAACACTTTTGACAAATTACTCTGGATGCCTGGTTATCAAGTATGCATCTAATCTTTAATGTTTTTCTCTGACAAATTTTAAAACCTCCAGCCTAAACAACATATATTTTAATTTAAATTTTAAAATATTTTTCTTTACCAACTGAAATATTTTAAAATAAACAACTTCCTTAAATAGTGAGAAACAATTGAGTGAAGAATTGGCACTCAACTATTCTTTAGATATTGTTGTTTTGTAACTACAGTAAACTAAAATCATTTATTTTCACATTTCATTCCCACAATTTATTTTTCTAAAGTGAATATTGAATGAAATTGGTGTCAGAATGACAATATTTGTTTTAGAGAAAAAATAGTCAAGTCGATCAATCATTTCACCCAAATAGGGAGCCTTGTCCTCATGACAACATAATAACCCATAGTATGCTACACAAATATTATGAATTTTTTGTTGTTTCCAGGTAAGAGCTTTCCTGATTCTTCAAAACTAGATAGGATTCATTTGTGCAATTTTAATATTGTTTTCTTTTTCTTGGCAGATGGCTTCTACTACTTCTTAGTTTCATGCATTGGCAGGAGTAGGCTGTTTTATACAAAATTCTTAATAAATAAAGTCTTTAAAATATGTATTTCTCTGAGTATCCAGGACAGGCTTCTTAGTATGTGTTTTAAACAATTGCTAATTACATATTTATCCAAGAAACTACTATGAGTTTTCCATTTGGGTAATAATAAACATCTTACAAATTTTACATAGTTACTATAAAGGTCATAGTAGTCCTATAACTCATGCAAAATAAATAAATATACATGGAGTATATGTGTATGTGTATATATGTATATATACACATACATATACATATACCATATATATATATATATATACATATATATATATACACACACACATACATATACATATACCATATATATACACATACATATATATATATATACACACATATATATATGTTTGGGGGGTAGGAAAATGATTAGTTACATAAATTTTTAAAAAAATTTCTTAATGTATCTTATATTTGGCAAATTAGATCTTTATTTAAAAGTTTTCAAGTTGGAAATAGAAAAGATGTATTTTTTAAATTGAATTCTGTACACAGGAAGTGATGAACTATGTGTGTATGTATGTATGTGTGTATGATTTTTCAGGGAAATCACAAACATACATAAAACATAAAATAATAGCATCATGATCACGTGTGTATCTACCACCTAGATTCATCAAATGTAAACATTTGGGACAATGCCAGAGTTAATCTGTTATGCACATTTCTGAAAAAGAATATCTGCCTTGTTGAAGACTCACTTTCTTATCCATGCTGTAAAACCTTTCACAGCCCTCCATTCTCTCCTTTCCCCACTATTTCTTTTGGCTTGGAGCTCTACATTCTCTTCCTTCCATCACGGGGAGGGGGTGGGGGTCAGGGGTTAGCAGCCTTCTAGCCAAAGCTATTCTGAGACTCCTAATTGCATTGGTGGAGTTGGTGCAAAAGTGAGGTAGTAGGAAGTGGGAAACCAGATGGAGAGCAATACTATTGGGAAGTCTGGGCTCTCAGGGTCAGAGATATAGCACACTCAGAATGAGTTTTTTGCTAGAAACAATGTGACTGAAGAAAGCTCAGTGTGTTTTTGTGCCTGGTACATGGTTTCCCTGAGAAAATGTATCAAGTTCTAAGCAACTAATTTATACCTGGATTTTGAGAACATTAGCCTACTTCCAGTTGCCATCAGCCAGTATTATAATTATTTAGTTAAAAAATATTGCATTCTATTTTAAACTTGTTTTCACATGACATAATCATAATTATTCCTCAGGCAACTTTTTAAAAGAAAGATAACATTAACTACCAATAGCATTTTCATTTCCTTCCTTGTATAAATATCTCAATTAAAGTTTTCCATTCCAATCTTTGTCCTTGTAACTGCATTATACATATCATTTGGGGATTTGAAATTGAGAAATCCACATCTAAGAACCTTGAAGATTTCAGTCAAAACACATTTGTTTTTCATGATAACTTAATCAAAGGACAGCTAATAGGAAATATATTTCCTTTTAGTTCTTTTATCATTTGACTTCATTCTTATAACTCATGTTCATTTTGGGGGTGCTTACTTAAAATACTAAATAAAGTCTCAGTTTTATATAAAAGTTGTCCAATTTCTTCCACATATGGATTTTATAGTTTGGCAATTGATAGACATGATATATTTACTACTGAAGCACAATCTAACCATAAAAAATATTTTTTTTTAAAGAAGGGATACACAGACAAATTACATAGAGAATTTTCGTTGTGTATCTTTAGGTTATATTTGTTGACAAAAAACAATGAATGTACCATTACGTGAATAAACTAGAGCTTTGTCTAAAGCAACAGGAAAAGAGCTAGATGTTGAGTCTTTTGTTAACTAGAACTTCTTAATGGCATGTTCTTCAGGGCATAAAAGAATCAAGATATCTCTTGGCACCCTTCAACTATGTTCTGGTTTGCTGCTCCCAAGAATACTCTGGCTGCCATTTTCACCTGGGGAAGTGCCAGGGGAAAGACCAGCTGCTCATATTTAGGCCTTTGTATCTATGACTCCCATATCCAATTCTGGCTCATTTTCCCTATTTTCTATACACTTGGGGAGTAGGATGTCAAGTATACACACCCTGCTCCAGTCTTCTACCAGTCATCATCCTTGGCTCATGCCCATTTTGGTACCATCTGCTTGGGGACACAGAGGATAATAATAAGAGCTTCTACTTATTGAGTGCCTGCTGTGAACTACGTATTTACATCTCTAGTTTCAAATTCTCACTCAATCCTGTATGGATGCTATCAGATCCATTTTTAAACATCTGGAAAGTAAAGCTTAGCAAAGTTAAAAAAAAAAAAAAAAAAAACCTTTCTAGGGTTATCTGATGCTGGGTTTATATTTGGGCCTTTCCTCCTTGCCATCAGTGGAAGATTTTCTCTTGGAGAAATATGTTAGCATCGTCTTTGATTGACTCTCCACTTTCCATAACAGCCCTCCCTGGAGAGCTGCTCTCCTACACTCATCCCAGACTGGTGTCCTGAATTTCCCACAGTGATTTGGCCCTTACATTGAATTTTCTGGCTTCTTGTCTGTTAGACTCAACTGATATCTTAAAATATCTGATTAATACTTAATACTGTTGGCAGGTTAGAATCATATTTTAAAAAGGAAAGTGTATTTTAATACAACTTTCTGAATCCACTCATTGAGAGAACATATTTTTCCCATGTTAAACAGACAAACTGGACAAAAAAAAAAATGACCACCTGTTAGTTGCTAATGATGTTCACATGCTTTTTAAAAAAGTAATTCTGGCTTTATCTTCCTACAATCTTGGCGACAAAACTCGTGGGAACATCAAGGGCACAGGAAGCCAAAGGCAGCAAACTGACAATAAAGTTTGTGCTTCGACTACTAATGAGGAAGAGGATACTGTGAATCTCTGATTCCACATAATTATTTAATCTCCAGAGGGTGACAAAAAATCAAAAGCAGGTTGTAAGAAATCTAAGTTTGGGTGTTCAAATCTAGGACCAAGATCAGAGGGGCTTCAGACAGGCTATTTCCTACTTGAAAAAAATATCTTTAGAATCATCAAGTATAAAATGCACCAATCTCAAACATATAGTCTAATTTGACATTGTATGGGTGAGTAAATCAATACGCCTTTAGTGAAAATGAACACACACATATGGACTGAACTTATTTTTTTTAAAATCGATCAATACTAACTATTGTATCTTGCAAAAAACATGCTAACCCTAAATAAGGCTTACAATTATACATATCTACCAAGATTCAGAAACCAAGCATTTTCTAAAATCAGGGCTAGCATTAAAGATTAAATGACTATTTATTTTAATAGTAAAATCAAATTAAGAAGAGAACATTTGATCTTAATTCTTTTTTAATAAGTTTTTGGGTCTTGCCTTTAAGTCTACTGATTTCTATGGGTCATTTTAAAAAGTATTTAATGTATTCATTTCCATCCAAGTTGAAAGTTGATAGAGATTTAGCTTACTATATATTTTTTCACATGGTATCTTGGTTAAAATCACAAGTTCTAAAAGCAGATTATTTGGGTTTGAAACAAGTCTTGATAACTTGTCTTCATACATAATACCTTAGTTTTCCAAGCCTCCATTTCCTCATCCATAAAAGAGGATGATGTTGAAGAGCTAAATGCTGATTTTTTTCATTAACTAAAACTTCTAATCATAGTATCTGTCATAAAGTTAGGGGGAACCTTAAATGAGACTATGTAAGACAAGCACTTAGAACAACTACTAGATAGCAAGTGCAAAACATTTTCTAGTTATAACTGGCTTTTAAATTTCAAAGTAAAAGGTAAATGTGGCATCCTTGTACAATTAGGTATATCATAAAACAAATAGAATAAATAATGTGTCTTTTCTCCTTAGGCAGGATTGAATTTCAGAGAGAATAACTATCTTTCTCAAAGAAAAATAAATTCTAAAGAGAAGTAGCAGGTATTCTATCCATAGAATTCCTGCCCCCCACCCCAGTAGTATACTAAAACTTGTTTAAAAGAGATTCTGCCCAATACAGAATCTGTTAGCCTCGATAGTTCTAAAATACATTTTTGCACACCTTTATTTTCTCCCTAATTTCAGGCTTCAGAAGCATGTCAAGGTCTCTTTCAAATCCCAGATCAACTAATAACTGTAACACATATCCTTTTTCTATTTACTACAAAATATTTATGTAGTTAATATTAAATATGCACTCACAACTGAATTTTAATTTTGATATCTTACCTTATATCAGATTCCATATGAATTAAAATGGTTTAATAACCAGCAGTTAAAGGAAATGTTCTTTAAATGAAATAACTCTAAACTTTAACATCATATTGAAAAAATCTTTAAATATGGCATTGTTAACTCTCCACAAACCTTCCACATCATGTGTTTTCTAGCCATTAATACTGATCATTTTAAACTCCAACTAGCACAACTGGCTAACTAAATATGTATATGATATTTGTTGAAAATTATGGTATGTATTGGTGGGTATAGCTCAGTGGTAGAGTTTGTGCCTAGTATGTTTGAGGCCCTGGGTTCAATACCCAGTACCAAAAAGAGACAATTATGTGGGTCTTTGAATAATGAATTAATTTCAAAAGGGTACTTATGCTCAAAATTCTTATATAATTTCTAGATTTGTGGTTCTCAAAATTCAGTTCTGGAAGATATGCTATCATGTATATATCACACACATACTTATAGTTGTCTAGCATCATACTTATTCACATGTACATTCTCAACTTACTGAGGCATCCTTAAATTTGAAGTTAGGATGTAACTAAACTGATATTTGGTCAGAGAGAACTGTCCCAAAATGTGGTGAATCAGAAGATTAAGATAGGAAGGTAGAGGATCCAAGAAAGATGCTATAGTTTTAAGACATTGTTAAATGGGTTTTCTATGACTTTAAAAATATCTACTTGTTTTTGTAGAAGGTTGAGACTCAAACCAAGTCATTGAAATAAAGTGACATGCTTTAATAGTGCACTTTTATTAAAGAAGCAGTAGGCTTGGGAAAGATCTATAAAAGTACTGAGGTTTACTATGTAAGTGGTATAAGTTCTTTGTAGTCCAAATTCAATTACTTTAGAATAGCAGACCTAGTATGACCTGGGAAAACTACTAATTCACATCCCATATTTTCTATCAACCTCTGGAATGTGCATTTCTAAATCTTTCTGGTGGTCTGAAAATGTGCAAAGTTGCATAGCCTGTTGGCTTAAGTTGGCCCAACTGTGGTGGTCACTCATACCTTTTAATGTATGGAAATCAAATATTCAGCATTCCAAGGTTTGGAGACGCTTGACATTTCCCACTCTCAAAATCAATCACCAACCTGAACTCCATGGCTATTACTCAGAGATTCAGAGGTTTGCTGTAAGCAGAGACCATGACCTTGGAATAATTATTTTCTCAAAAGGCATTACCAACAATGATGTGAGCAAAGTGCCCAGACTGCCCTCCAGTGCATGAATCCCTAGCCAAGAAATGGCTACGAATCTTCCATGAGAAGTATGAGTTTGGCTTAAATTTGATTTCCATGCATTTATATTTCATAAGCACTGCATTTAGACAAAGTTAAAATGAACAAGTCAGAGAAAGTACTCACTTAAAGATTTTCTGTGTTCTGGTTTCTGGTCTTTCACATCACTATCATAATGACTTAGCAATTCAGTACTGGAGGATCTCTGCATTTTGAATAATTCCAGGTTTCTTGATGGACAACTTGGATCCCTTGGCTGGAAACAGTAAGCAATTAGACTCAATAATTTTAATATGAAGAAAGTATTCACTAAAGAGTTTTGTTTCTATTTTGATATTAGATTTAAAGGAATGTTTGAAATATGGTAATTATTTTAAGATAGGTTCTCTATTCTAAGCTCTATATTAAAATTTAATAATAGATCATATATGCACATGGTGCTTACTAAATGTGCACATTATTCCAAGCATTCATGCATTAATTCAATTAATCATCACAGGAATCCAATGAGGTAGCCACCATTATTTTTACTTAATAAGAAATTGAGGCCAAAAGAGGAAATAATCTGCTTGAGGCCACACAGCTAGTAAGTGATGGAGTCAGTGTTCAAACAGGCAATTCGGGCCCAGAGTCCACTCTAAAAGACAACAACTTATGTGCTTTTTGTGTGTTTATGGGGACTATATTAATGAAGGGGGTAAGTTATTTTATTTTTAAAGTTTTGATCTCAAAGTGATAACATGAAAGACTTCAATCAAATATCAGCAAAATCACAGAGAATGTATTTTCTTATTGCACAACATACTAAAAAGTCTCAGGAATATTTTCCCCTCAAGATTTTACAAATATTAATGAGCTAAATTATAATTAGTATGGAATAAGTAGTTTTAAATAACTTGATTCTTTTAAAAACATATTCTGGTATCACTGAAGATAATTTCATGAAGTTCTAGATGTGTAATTTTCATGAGAAGAATAATATAACCTAGTTGGAAGAACAATAAAAATCAGCACAAAGGATTATTATTTACTGGTATTATAACAGGGAGTATGGCCTTAATAATATTTATTTTCCAGAATAAGTATTAGAAGCTGCATAAACTGGAAATGTAAAAACTCAGTAGTTATTAAGCGCTTGTGTGCTTTTTACAACCTCTAGTAAATGAATGTCCATGTTATTTCAGAAAAAAAAAGCACTGCATTTTTGAAAGAGAGAAATTAAATGACATTTAGTCCCACAAATCCTGTCTGCTGAAAATGTTCCTAGTGGACTCTATTTAAACTTAAAAGAACTTAATATCCCTCAGTCCATATGCTCTGTTTAAATGTGAGTGTGTTATATGACTGAGCAATAAGATTTAAATGACTACATTTTAACTAATAAAGGTAACAGCCAAAACAAATACATACCAATCTGTCAATTGCATTTTTGATAGCATGGAACCAATCCAATATGATGAAGTCAATATCTGACTGTAGAAGGAACTCATTTCCTGATACTGTTGTGATCTGAAAAAAAAAATATTGACAGGTGAGAAAACCATGTGAGATAGATCTCCTACATTTGAAAAAAAAACAATCTTCTAAAACAGAGTTTAATACACTGAAATATTTTCTTGTCTTCCAGTAATTGTCTTTCTGGGAACTGGGAGGCTAGGATCATTTTGAAGTACTCTCTATAAACTGTTTTTTTCATGTCATAACAAATACATTATTGTTTTAATAATAGAACGATTAACTCAGAGTAGGCTAAAGCTGAATTGCTCCAACTTCAGGAGAAATAAGGCAGGAAGTCCAGAGCGATACAGACAGTGCACACTTAAGTTAGAAGTCTCAGAAAAATGTAACCGGGTGTGTCAGAATTCATTCTGCACTTCGGGCTCTTTCCTGTTTGTCTTTTTCAAATCTAATAGTATCTCTATATTTGATTTCCTTTTATGGAGGGCTCTAAAACAGATTATTTACCGAAGAGACTAATGCAGACTTTTCTAAAAGGTCATACGGATGAATACCATTAGGCTGTTTCTATTTTCCTATCATAAAGATCTATAGGAAAGTAATAAAGAGCCAATTTCCCCACAAAAGGAGTATGTTAGAATAAAAGTTCATTTACATCTTTGAACCCCTACTAGAGGGTATTTCTCAAGTGAACATCCTGTGTCCCTTCTCTCAGTGCTGTTAAGTAGTTGGCAGTGCTTCTTAGCATGCAACTATACATTTTTCACTGCAGTAAATCTTTTTTCTCCCCAGAATTGTGACAGAAGGATGTGACCCTATAGAAACAGAGCAATGCTCTTGATTTCACACATAAAGGGCTCCTTTGAGGAGAATTTGATTAGAGTGGGTGTGGACACGCTTTTTGTATGAGGCCATCAATCTGAACTGTGAAGATTTTCCCTTTGTATTATTGACTTTTTGTTGCAAGAGGAAGATGAACATTTCCCAACTACTGTCACACATCAAGCAAGGCTTCAGAGGTTGAGAAGACTGGCATTTCAGCATACTCAATCAGGAGCCAGTCACCTCTTCTCAGCCTTACTTGCTCTAAATAGGAGGTGAATGCTGAAATGTGGCACCAGTTCAGAAAATCACAAATCGTGCTTGAGGCCATCTTTAAAACTCTATGATTAAAGTGACAATTATTACCCCAAATGGCTTACTCTGAAGTTTTCTGTGATTCTTATGGCAACATTTAAAGAGAATGTCTTGGCGTTTTTAAGAAATTTTTGATGGCACATGTGCACATATACTCATTTTTCATAAAGAATCTATGAAGATGCGACATTACTCTGTACTGCAAAGCAGCTCTTCTTGAGTGACGTAAGTTCCCCTATCAAGCCTGGCCCCTTCTACAGTAAGAAGAGCTGTCCAAAGCGTATGCAATTATAATAAGTGAAATATTAGAAAATAATAGGATTTAATTACCCACACTAGAATTTGGCAGATTACTGGGGCAAATCACTCTCTTTAAAAATAAAAAATGCATTTAAGATTTGGGATGGCTCAAAATAGTCCTCTGTTTTATGTATCCAGTAAAAGACAGCTAAGCTGATGTTTGCCTAATTATCTGAACACCACTACAATATTCCTTACTTAAATAAAGTCCCAAATATTTACTTTATAAAATGTTGCCTCAGAAGGAGAAATCTAAAAATATAAGGTCATTTCTAACTAACTCAAGAAAGCTAGTAATGTCCTTGACCTCTACCTTTATCCTAAGTTTAAATATTTTGATTATGAATATACTATATGCAATAATTTGTTATTATACACAGAAATGAATTTAGTCCAAGCACAATGTACAATCTAATATAATAATTCTCTGCCAGTATAAATAAGCCATTATTAAAATTATAAAAAGGAGCAACATTTTTAAAGTACAAGAAACAAACATAATTAGATTTACTGTATTGTGAGGGTTTATGAGAGAGCCAACATAGTTCAGTTTTTGGCCTAGTAAATTCAAAGAGTGATAAAATATAAGTAGTTCAGCAATGCATTTGCATTTTTGGTGCATACTATGCAATGCAAAGGGAATCTTTTACTGGTAACACAATCAGAAGTAAATGTATTTTGAAAGTTTCTTTGTCCATGTATATTATTACATTAATCATACATAATCAGTGATTTATAAATTCATTTTGGGAAGCGAGATGAGGGAACTATACGAATGCAATTCATTCAAATCATACTGCCAGAGAAATCCAGTTCACATCCTTTCCTCTGTCTTCCCACTAATCTTTTGAGTTACTAGGCAGTCTGGAGAAGTCTGCTACTGCTCTCTACAGTTTAAATGCATCCACTTCTTAATTACACTCAGTAATTGACTTTGTTCTGCTCTATTCCAGTCACTCACAGGAAAGTAGTTTCAGAATCTCTGACTGGTAAAGTCCATTTAATTCAGGGCTTTCAATCCACATTTTTACATTACCTCTTTAGGATTTCTGATACGTGGTTTGCTGAATCATATTTGCACTTTGAACAATTGAATTTTTAACACTCTTGGGGAAAAAATGTCACTAGCAAGGAATGTGAACTTTGACTGAAACTTATGATTGACAACATATGATGACAACGTAAAATGATACAGTACTAATAACAGGGATAAAGTATCTGATATTAGCCATGCTAATGTACTCTCTCTATATCATGTTTTGCTTCCATGGCAGATGCTGGAGTGAGGCAATGAAGGAAGAACTTACAGAAAACAATAGGTTTAGGTAAGAGCTGCTGGTCTCCATTTTGCTTAGAAGCCTACTTTAGCAAAATGTCTTATGCCATCTCCACTGGATCATATTTTAAGGGGTATATCAGGGCATCAGAGCAGCCTTAACAAAGTGTGCTAATATTGTCAATAATAAATATCTTTGAGTACTTGTCTGGGGAAATTTGTGTCAAACTTTTTTACTCTAAATTGGGACCACTTAATTTTTTAAAATTATCTTTCTCATTTTTTATTTGTTCTAATTAGTTATACATGACATTATAATGCACTTTGACAAGTCATACATAAATGGAGTATGGCTTCTCATTCTTCTGGTTGTACATGATGTAGATTCACACTGGTCATATAGTCATATATACACAGGGTAGTGATGTCTGATTCATTCAACTATTTTTCCTACCCCCTATCCGTTCCCCTCCCTTCACTTCCCTCTGCCAAATCCAAAGTAACTATATTCTTCCCTAGCTCCCCAACCCTTATTGTCAGTTAGCATCCACATATCAGAGAAAACATTTGGCCTTTAGTTTTGGGGGGATTGGCTTAGTTTGCTTATCATGATATTCTTCAGCTCCATGCATTTACCCGCAAATGCCATAATTTCATTGTTCTGTAAGGCTGAGTAATATTCCATTGTGTATATATACTGCATTTTCTTTATCATTCATCTGTTGAAGGACACCTAAGTTTTAAACATTGATATGGATGTGTCACTGTAGTATTCTGATTTTAAGTCCTTTGGGTATAAACCAAGGAGTGGGATAGCTGGGTCAATTGGTGGTTCCATTCCAAGTTCTCTTAAGAATCTCCATACTGCTTTCCATAATGGTTGCACCAATTTGCAGTCCCACTAGCAATGTATGAGTTTATCTTCCCCACCCCACCCCCACATCCTAGCCAACATTTATTGTTGCTTGTATTTTTGATAATTGCCACTCTGACTGAAGTGAGGTGAAATATGAAGAGTAGTTTTGATTTGCATTTCATCTTTGCTAGAGATGTTGAGCATTTTTTCACAAATTTATTGATTGATTGTATTTCTTCTTCTTTGAAGTGTCTGTTCAGTTCCTTAGCCCATTTACTGATTGGGTTATTTGCTTTTTGGTTTTAAGTTTTTTGAGTTCTTTAAATATCCTGGAGATTAATGCTCTATCTGAGGTGCATGTGGTAAAGATTAATACATACCCAGGAATTACATACGTATATCCACTGAAAAACCTACAGAATTTTAGACATGTCTGTTAAAGCTTTTTTGGTATTAACAACAATAGTTTCTCTTTGGCTTGGAAACTTGGTCTGTGTCCTTGTGGTTCCCCTGAATGGAGGCAAGGATATGCAAGCTCCAATATCTCAGATAAGAGGTATATAGGAAAAAAATAGATTTAGATTAAATTGATTATTTTTGTGTTAATTGAAAGAATTTTAAATTATTTTTAAGAATAGTATTTAGATTTATAATTACTGTCATTTTAAGAGTAGTATTTATATTTGTAATATTGCCAATTAAGTATTACTTTGCCAATATTCATTGCAGCAGTAAGATTTTGTGGTCTTAGATTTTTATTTAAATGAGAAGCTATTGTGTAGAATGGCATTTATACTATTAAAATTTTCAAAGATTTATTTTTTAGAATTGGTACAAATCCCTTGTAGAACACCTTTTTCCTGATTATAAGAATAATATAAATTTATTGTAGAGAATGGAAAAATAAAAATTACAAAGACTCAAATTAAAACTATTCACAGCTCCACAGACTAAACATTGCAATATTTTAATTTAGACAATGCCAGTTTTTTATATATAATAACCAAATGGATATAATGCTCAATGGATTAATTTATGCTATAGATAGATGTCTCATCAGCAAAATATTTGAGTGGTAAATATTGTTGACTTCTTCCTTTCCAGTTGATCTCAAATATACATTATGAGATTACCAAAGATGCAAGAGATGATGAATGACATTGTGCTCCCTTCTCTTTGATATACTACCCTTCCAATTGCAAAATAAATTCCACAGATAATTCTGTGAGAGGATATGTTCATGACTGATCATCCACCTAATCCCCTGATCATCAACAAGGACTGATTCAGCATCCATTAAGTCCAAGGCACATTGTTAGAAGCTAACAACTCCCAACCTCAACAATTCACAATCTGTTTGAATAAATAGGACATATGCATATAAACATAAATAACAATATAAAATGGCTTAGAGTAAGACTAAGTGTGAGTGGTGCAAACAACTCTCATGTCAAGATTTCAGAGGAGGGAGTAATTACTGCT